TTCTCTATACTTTGACTTTCACGTTAAGTTTCCCAAGGAACAAGACATGTCAGTCACTGACATGACAGAACAATATTGCAAAAATAATATATCACTGTCTTTAAGCAGGTGAAAGAAATTGGTGGTAACAATGAAAGATATTTATATCTAACTCTTTCCAGGATTCTTTTTTTTTTTTCTTCTTGGCAGTATTTGGGTTTGAACTCAGGGTCTCATGCTTGCTAGGGAGGTGCTCTACCACTTGAGCCACACACCCAGCGCTTTTGCTTTAGTTATTTTCCAGACAGGATCCCGTGCTTTTGCCTAGGCTACCCTCAGACAGTGAGCCGCCTAGCTCTACCTCCCTAGTAACTGGGATTCCAGATGTTTGACACCATGCATGCATGATACCTCAAACTTGAGTTTTCTATCAGAAGTAAGCAAAAGTTAAGAATGGACCAAGTGTACATTAAAAAACAATTAGAAGAAAATTTATAGAAATTTAACATATCTTTTTGTTTCCAGGCAGGAGATCAAACCAGATCTGATTAATGTGAGGATGAAATGGTTCCCCAACAAGCAGGCTGAAGGATGAGGCAGCGCCTGAGCCCTGAATTTCCAAATTTCTGTGGCTGTGGCTCTGGCTCTGAGCAATGAGGAATCATAGCATTTGATATTGCTAACTTGAATTGTCTGAGGCACAAGTCATAAACACCCAAGAGTCAACAAGTCGACACACAGAAACCAGACAATCCACTACCTGCTCATATTTTGCATTTACGTTTTAAAGTTAATTTAGTGCAGGAAACATGAGCAGATACAATCAGGAATGGAGACACTTTGTCTTCCTCATCACCTTTAAGATGAAGAGAGCAGGCTGGGCATAGTGGCACATGCCTATCCTCCTGGCACATAGGAGGCAGAGACAGGAGGATCTTGGATTCCAGATCAGCCTGGGCTACGTAGTGAGACCCTGTCTCAATCAATCAATCAAGAGAAAATAGCCTAAAATGAGGAGAGCAAATGAGCTCAAGATAAGGCTTGTCTGCAGCTCCGGGGAACCCTTGCTGATCTTTCTAAACCAACAACACCATTACTCTGTTCCAGAACCTGGACACAGAGCATTTGACCTTCAGTATCTCATTTAACTCTTGCAGTGACACTCTCAGTTAGGTCATGCTACCACCCCTGCCTCAGATAAGGAAACTGAGGCCAAAAGAGATCAAATAACTTCATTAAGGACCAGAAGGCAGGATTTGAACACTGGAATCCACACTCCTTCATTAACGGCGAGTGCCCCAGTCTTCCTAGAGAAGGTGACTTATAACCCTGTCTGAGGGGGACACAATATTAGAGATGTGTGTAGTGCAGAGTGGCAAGGTGCCAGAGAAAACCCAAGAGCAGTAGAGTGGAGGTGGCCTATGTCATTCTTTGTCCTCTTATGCCCTCATCCATGTAACACACTCTTGGGTACTGTGAGATAGAGCAGTGTACAGGGAGATCCCCAAATGTTCTCTAACCAATTGACAATTCTGACTGTGCAAGCCTGTAACATGTGTAGCACCTCTGGCCATGGGGAAATCACACTTAATTAGACAGGCCCACCCCTGCTTCTGACCCAGTAAATAGGTGACTTCACAAGATTCTGTGCACCCAGCTCTGACTGCCTCAGGCACTCCAGAGACGGCCATGTCGTAAGGTCCACCTCAGGGCCATGGTGAGCCCTGCGGACAGCTTCTGCCACAATCACACAGCAGCCTTGGTGCTCAGATGACAGCTTTCTTTTAGTGACATCCCAAGATGATCTGTGGGGGGACAGGGCCTGCTGTGCACAGAGGTGAGGTAAGGCAGGAGACCATCATTGTTTAGCATCAGCCTGCACAGGCAAAACCCTGTGGTTTCAGAATGGCATCACCAATCCCAGCCTGACCTGAAAGCAGTGAGTAGATTGTGCTAGCAGGGCAGGCCCGCTGTCTGAGTTACAAAAACAAACAACAAAAACCCAGAAAGCACATGTCGTGGGGAACCTCATCCAAACAGGACCCATGACCATGTCCAGTGGTCTACACTCTGCTAGTGGAATGTCCACCTGGGTTCAAGGCTGTGGGGGTCCTCCAACACAGGCATCAAGCCTATTTCCCAAAACAGTACACTTACAAGAAACGACCAGGTGAGAAGCAACGGATTCCAAGACGCAGTTCACCTACCAGTCAGACAAGTAGCAACCACCCAGCCATGGGACACCACACACTCCTGGCATGCATGCAGGTTTCACCCATCCCTGAGCACCCAGCACAGGGCCAGCCTTTGCTGTGGGCCAGAATCTCTGCTGACCTCTTTGCCAGCATCAGTTCATGGACTATCCATAGGAAGCTAGCTTCTGTTTCTACTCCCACTTTCCAGATGAGGAGGCTGTGGCCTGGCAACCTTAGGTGAGTAGCCCAGCCTCGAAGGGTCACTCAGTCACCAAGCAAAGGTGGGCAGAGGTGACTCCATGCTAATGGACCTTGAGCGCAGGCAGCGTTAACCACACTGCCATCCTGGTAATGCATCCTGTTTCCTGTTTTATCAACACCAGCACGGGCTGGGAAAGGCAGGAAGATGCTGTAACACACAGGGACCTCTCAGCCTATTCTCTCTGAGTTGGAAATTTTCACAAAAGAACTGAAATAAAAAATATGGATAGGGATGGCTCCCTTGTCAGCCCAAGATAAACTTTCAGGAGAGATAGGAACAGCAAACCACAGAAGTACATGCTGGATGGTTTTGTCATATTTTTGAGTTCACCAAAGAACAGAAGGACATGACAAAGCCATCAGCGATGTCCCCTGCTCAGACTGGGACTGGGTGGGAATCTGCCTTGTCACAGGGACTTCATGCTGGCACTCAGCTGCAGCAGAAGCTAAAGCCACAGGAAAGAAAATCCATTTGTATGTCCAGGAGTTTGAACTTTGGTTTATGGCTATCTTGAAAGGAAAAAAACAAACAACTTATTTCTCAGATTTGCCATAGCACAGTCGGTAAGAACATTATGGTCCTCAAATATTTAGTGAGATGTGTAGCTGTGCTAAGACTTGAATAGACTGAAATTTTAGCTTATAAAATTCAAACAAGACACAAGGCAACAGAAAATCAACATCATGATTTTATATAAGTAAACACAACTGTGGCTCAGCAACCACTCATCTTTCCTTCCTTAGTGCTGGATCTCAGAATTTATCTGGGACACCAAGTCACTCAAGCATAAGAATGCTTTTCTCACATGTCCTTATAATTAGGGGCAGCTAACAGGATGTAAATGGAAGTCCTAAGCAAGGCTTCAGGAAAAGCACTTTACAGGGGCTCTTCCTTTCAGGATGTAGAGGCAATGGCTAGACAGCCAGCAGCCATGATGTGACTTTGAAGAAGAAGCAATATACTGGAACAAGCAGAGGAGAAAGCTAGAAGGCACAAACTGTTCTTCTCAGATGTCTGTTATGAGAGAGAACACATAAATAACCTTCTTCTACTTACATATAGAGTAGCATCTCTTCCTGGAAAACAATCCTAAAATCATATGATATGTGAAAACACTTGTAAAAAGATTACACTACCATTTTCTATGAGGCAAAAAAAAACCCCTAGAAAATTCATGCATTGGGATTCTGATTACCCCTGTATTCCCAAAGCTGTTCGTTGAAGAAGACTTTACTTCTTAATTAAGCACTGCTAGTCCAGGGAAGCACAGTTGCTGTGCCTGTCTGTATGTTTTGATATGCAAGTCTTGAGAAGTTCAAACATACTGGTAGACATTCAAGCATTATTATTTATTAAGGCCTAGTATTAAAGGTGGAAGATCTGAAAGCACTCTTGGATTCTGATGATTAAAGGAATTTAATCGTTCTTCATTGGCATTTGATCTTTAGCCTGCCACAGTCTACCCATACACCTCTTCATCCACATCTGATACTAAAAGACATTTCAACAGCTTGTCCATCAACACTAACACAGGAGGAGCGTACAGACAAACCACATTACTCAGAAAAGAAAAAAGCCTCCCCACCCTCCGGCTTGTGAAAACCCAAGGTGACTAAAAGGGGAAGAAGGAGCTCTCCCCCAGATGAGCCACAGGGCTGGAGAGCCGTCCGCTGAGCGTGGAAGGACTGATGTTTTCAGAGTTACGTCTGGCTTCATCCTTATGACTCCCCGCCCCCACACACACCGCCAGGGAGTGTGGGCAAGTATTTTTTACTTCCTGTTTCTTCCAGATAAATGGTTTGCTCAAGGTCAGAGTGACTAGTGCTCAGTGAAGTGTCAAGTTCACAGGTAACACATCCCTAATTTGTTGCATGAGCTACAACCTCACTGTTTTATTGCTTCTTTGATTGATTGATGATTGATTGATGAGGTGGCCCTGACGTTTGAACTCAGGACCTCACATGTGTTACCCAGGCTCTCTACTACTTGAGCCACTCTGCCAGCCCTTTTTGCTTAAGCTGTTTTTCAGACAGGGTCATGAGTTTTTGCCCACGGCTGGCCTCAGACCCTGATTGATTGAGATGAAGTATCATGAAGTTTTTTCCCAGGTGGACTGGAACAACTGTCCTCCTGATCTCTGCTTCCTGAGTAGCTGGGATTACAGATGTGACCACCATGCCCAGCCACTCACAGACTTCTATTTTTGTAAACAAAGTTTTCCTGGGGCTCAGTGACTCCCATTCGTTTACAGATTGTCCAGGGCTACATTTGTGTGACAACAGGACAGCTGAGGAGCACCCTTATGTCCCTGCAGTGTGACAAGATTTACTATCTGGCCCTTTACCAAGTTTGCCAGCTCCTACACCAGGTCCCCTTCCTACATATCTGATCCCAGTGATGGAGCCAAGTCTTCAGAACCATAAACCTGCCATGGAGCGGCAACCAGCGTATGCCATGGGCTTTGGGATTAGTGGCTGATAAAGAGGACGCTCAAGCTCTTCACTCTGCAAAGACAAATGGCAGTTCTTACACAGTGCATGACACTGCTGGGGTTTGTCACTTACCCTGAGCTTTTACTGTGTCTCACAGCCATAAAAAGCCTGGGGTCACTGGCAGGGGGCATGCATAATGCCACAGGACTGCAATAGACAGAGGGACACTGGAAAGAAAAAGAAAAGAGAAGGTTACAAAAAGGGAAAACAGTGGTGTATCAAAAAGAACACAGTCCTGTGGGCCAGGTCCCCTTGTTCCCACTCAGTAAGCACCAGTGCTATCCTTTCCCTGCAGAACCAGTGCCTGCCCCAGCTTTGAATCTGAGTCCAGCATCATAGAATCAGAAGAGAAGGAAGACACAAGTTATACAGCCAAGTCATACTGCCACTGTTGAAGCCCTGACATTCAAGTTTGGTTCCTTTACAATCCATAATTTCTTTTCTTATAATAAATTCTCTTAACCCCAATTATAACAAATTGTGATTTGAGCTTTGGTCATTTTTCCCTCTCTCAATCATCCTGTAGAAGCATCAGACAAAGGCACCCTGACATGCAGGGGAGCTCTCCTGGGCCCCACATGCAACCTCCCTGGCCACCATCTGCAAGTCCTACTTTGGGTTATGAAGGGAGACTGGGATTCATCCTCCTTTTGTGGGAAGGCCAGGCATATGCCAAGGCCCCAGCCTTTCCTAGCCCAGTTGGGTTAAGAGCAGAGTGTGTGGCCAAGGCACACACTGCTGATGGATCAGTCAACTCTCACCCAGCAGACACCAGCAAGGTTTCACCTGCCAGGACTCCTCTGTGCAGATTCAGGACATGGTCATGCTACCTGTGAGGTCCTGAAGACCTCAGAAGAATTCTCTCAGATGGGAAAATGAGGCTGCAGAATGAGGGGACACCATGAGTCCTTGGGGAATGCATTGGTGGAGTGCACTATGAGGTGTGTGCTCTGTCTGCAGTACCTGCGGGCAGTGTTCTTTGAGTACGTGTGGTGTCCAACCTGATCAAACAGAGAAGGTGAAACTGAAAAGGAGATGTATAAGTTTTATGATTTGAATAGTCAGCCTTCTCCGGAAACCATGTGGGCTGTCTATCAAGCAGAACTCTTCTAGAACAGAGTTCAGACGTGGTACTCCCCATGGGTGACTCTTCTAGAAAAGGAGGTTGAATGCAGGCTGGATTTGCCCACCCTGAGTTTTCTAGGTATCAGCCATCTGCAAAGAGATGATTTCAGAATCTTCCTACTTGAAATTTTGAGGCAGTTCCTCTGACACCTCTCCTGTCTGCCACTGTTCCCTCTGAGCACGAGTGCCACTGAGTCCTTCAGGGTGGTGGGCTTGGAGAGGTCCCTAAGTGTCAAACTCCAGACAGATCTGGAAGATTCAGCATGAAAAAAGTAAACATGTCATCAATCATTTTCTATTGATTATATGTTGAAATTATGTTATTTTCATAGGTTGAATTAAAAATAGGGGAATTTTATTTTCAAAAATTAAAATAATTAAACTTTAAAACATCTGTGTTGAGGTAATTTCTCTTTAAAAATACAAATGACTTCGAAATCTAAAAATGTATCCAAATATTTTCAAGATAATTTCAGTTGGCAGAGGCAAGTAATCATTCTGACTTAATGGGTGAACTCACTAATGAGGACCAGCCACCACAGGAAAGAGAGCCATTGTCACAGACTCGTCAGAGTAATGAGATAACGAAGTTAATGATATTGTCCTCAATGGACGGACACTGGCTTCCTCTCAGGGCCCCCATTTCCAAACATTTGTTCTGTCGCCCCGAGTTTGTCCCTTTTCACAAAACCTACCAGCTGTGCACACGGCCAGGAAAAGGCATCTGATCACAGCACTCACATCAGGGCAGAGCAAGTAGACAACTTTTCTCCCTTTATTATCTACTTGTAAAATGTTATAAGCCTGTAAACTAGTTAATTTACGAGCCGTGTTAATAATTTGCTCACACTTGATCGCGGGTTTCACAAACACAGTTTCCAGGGAGGTGGGAGGATAATTTGTAGGTCTGGCTTCTCTGTGAAGGGGACACTAACTAATTTGACACAGTAACATGACATTGATGGCCAGGCACACTAATGACCATTCTCCAAGATGTGGCTGTCAGCCTGCTGCTCGTTCCAGTGAGGACCCAGCTTGCTTTGACTGTGGCTCGGGACTCGACGCTCAACTAATTATTCAGACAGCGACATTAATGAGAACCCTCATGTTTATTTCCAACAAACTAACCAGTGCTTAGCTTCCATTTGTCTGATATGGTCACTGATTAATCTGTATTTCATGAATAGTAAATTTGAACTCTCATCTAACAAAGAAGTACCAGAGAAAATAAGGAATGGCTGATTGCAAAACAAACTCGGTCAATTCAACTTGTTCTCTGCCTCGAATATCATTAAGGACAAAGTGACAGCTAGCAGGGAATACTACAGATACCAAGAAAAGGAGATAAATCTTTTTAATCACTCATGGCCATAGACAAGCTTAGTTTTTTGGCTGAGGCCATTGAAGATGATATGATCAAGAGAGACACTCCCATCTCCAATAAACTGCACCATCTTCAGGACTTCATGAACAGATTAAGTTTGGTTTTCCATGGGATAAATGAAAAGGTTTGTCTTACGTGCTCTTTCAAGCTGACAAAAGTTCGATCTTGATTAAACTGTCTCAAGCATGATCTTTAGGAACACGAATAAACACAGTTGTGGGGTTTTTTTGCAAAACTGTGAGGGCTTTTAAAATATCCATTTATATATCTCATGTCTAGTCCACTAAATCTTACAATCAAGTTCTTTCGATTTTAAATTGAATTTCTATTTTGGTATGACAAATTTGGTCCTTTGTTTTACGATGATTATACTCCTAAAATATTCATATAATTGTAATGTAAAATGAATAACTTTTTAAAAAGGTGAGGTGCAGATCTCTTAGGGGTACTGAAAAATTGAAAACGCTCTGGGTGTGGTTCATTGCAGAAAGTGCAATTCAAATTAAATAAGAGGTGGTGTTGCAACAAAGGGTTCTATCTGCCGCCCAGGATAAAGAATTCTATTCAACACTGTGTGGCTTCTGATAGCAAAATAAATATGAGTCCATGTCCATGGCTTTGTGTAAGTACACAAAGTCACTGTGTAAGTACGTTTTCTAAGTACGTAACGTATTCTTAACCTTACTTTGGAATTGTAATTTTAGAGTGCTAAAGTGCTGAGGTGGTATATGTGTGGGAAGGACAGTCAGACTGGAGGCTAATTCTTAAAATACATTTAAGTAACTACTCAGATCAACTGCTCCTAACCAGCCTGTCTCCAAGCACTATTTCCATGGGTACCTACTATAGGCAGGTTCTCAGGTTGTCAGTGGCACTTTATTTACGGTAAGTGTTTGTCCTCCATAATAATCCGAGAAGGGTGTGTGGCCACGACTGGCTAGATGTTCCTGAAATCTATCTATCTCATCTCCTTCCTAGGCACAGAGCTGGCATCCTTCCCTGCTGTGTGGGTCTTGTGACCAACTCCAGGTCAGTGAGATGAAGGTGAGTATGTGCGGCTTTCTTTCTCCTCCTCAGGCCTCCTGTACCATCCCTAGTGTCACCCAGCCGAGGGCCCAGAGATGCAGTGGGAACACCTAGTTCCTAAAGAGAATGGAATCACTGGGAGCAGTAAAGCTCAGGTTCCTGAGAGACCACTCAGAGCAGAGCCACCTCCCTGTCCTCATCAGCCAATACCACACTGTGAGTTGCCCAAGGAGGAAGCTTGCATTGGGGTCCAGCCTCTGTGATTCTGGGAGGTTTGTTATAGCTGTCAATACCTTTCTGTTTCTGCCCCCATCCCGACCCCCAACCTGACTGCTAAGGATGGAACCCAGGGCCTTGCACAAGCCAGAAAAACGCGCTAGTTCTCAGTAATACCCTAGGCCCCCAGCTTTTTTCCTGCAGTTGTTTTTCCTTCTTTTTTAAATTTTATTTTGGGGTGCATACTAAGTACATACTCTACCACTGAGCTACGCCCTGGACCAGTACTCTCATGCTAATAACATAGATCAGTCTAATTTCTCCCAGGCTTCCACTTGAGTACTAGGCAACCCTAAGTGAGTAAAAACATTGTCAATTTGAGAAACTCCTGACCATATTCTGTTGTTGTGATCAATGGTTCCTCTAACCAAGTTAGGGTAGAACAAGAAGAGAACTAATAGTTAGCCTATTCTTGAAAAGTATCACAAGTGTTTTTCCCTAATCTTCATGTAACCCAGGGAGGAAGTTGATTCCCATTCTGTGGATGAGAACCCTGAGCCTTTAAGAAGTAAAATATAAGCAAATACCCCAGAATGCTAATCCTGGTGATATTTTCTAGCTGAATGCATTATTAGCCTTTTGGATCCAAACTTCACAGAAAATGCATTAGCAGATACTGCTTACGAAAGAAAAGAACTCTGTGGCTAAACTCAAAACAACATTTTAAACAAAATGCATGAAAAAATGTTAAGTCGTACAATGGAATGTCAGAAGCTTCTATGGAGGTTTTGAAAAGCAAGCAACTACTACAAAGGCAGAAGCAAAAGAGATGTCTTAGCTGTTCTTGGTGTTAAAAAAAAGAAGCCACAAATTCATACAAAAATATGTATCGAGACTATATTGTTGAGTATCAATGGTTTAAACGTTTATACATCTTTATTGTCTGTAGAGACGTGTGTGATTGTATGTGTGAGAGTGGCAGTTTACTGTACTTTAATTATGTTCTACAAACAAGGGTTGCAAACATTTTCTGTAAAGGAAAGGACAGTGAATATGGTAGCTTATGTAGCACAGTTGTTCACCTCTGCCATTGTAGTAGGAAAGCAACCAGAGTTAACATGTAAACAAATGGGTGTAATGGTGTTCCAATAAAACTTTATTTATACAAAGAAGCTGTGGGCCAGGCGTAAAGGGTGATAATTTGCCAACTTCTGCTTTACAAAAGTGTTTTGGGGTTTTTTTGCATATTTGCACATAAAATACTATGATTTTTCCTCTGTCAAATAATGGGACATGGATTCTCATTAGCATATTCACTCAGGATATCTGACTGCCAGGAACGAATCACTGATGTTAAGGGGCAGTAGCCTGAATTTGCCAAAGGTTCAAGACAGGACAGCTGGTGGGGCTTGGCTT